GATGACAAGAACCTTTTCCAAACTCAGTGCCATTGACCGAGACCCTGGTGCCAGTGACCCCTGCCTCACCCTTCCCTACCACCAAGCATACTCATGCCTGCCCCATCCCTGGCATTTGCACAGAGTGAAGGGTTGGTGTAACCTGGTCAAAGTACATTTTTATGGCCAGGCCACAATACAGGGCTCATGTTTTACCTGCACACAGTTTAGGCTCCATTGTGGGAGAAAAGTATGGAGCAAAAAGACAAAGTTTGCAAAATGGCACCAGCATGTATGCTGCTGAAACCTTTTGCACCAAAGTAAGGTTGTGGCAGGGTGGGTTTTGGTAGGCAGGCAGACAGGCAGGCAAGCCCTTCTTGGTGGTTTTTGCAGAAGGCTTCTTATACGGGCATCTCATTCTCAAAGCACAGAGTTATTCTCCACATTTCTTCCTTCCTGTTCTCAGCTCTGATTGATATGCCGTTGCTGCCTTCACCACCACAGAAAAAACACAGACCACGTATGAAGCCTGTGAATGATACCCAGACAGATAGGAGAGTCAGCACCATCAATACCTGTGCAGAGTAGTTGCCGGAGATAGCAAGACAGGCATGTCGAGTCTGTTGCCAAGGAGGTGGTTTTGGGAGCCTGGGGCCAAACCTATCTTCTTTCTAGCAATGCAAAACAATAAGACATGCAAAATAATGCTGTCATATTTTACTACTCTTTTGGTTCTGGCAAATGAAAGGTTATAATAAATGCAGGTTCTTTCAGATGTGATGTGCCTATGGTTGCTGTTTTCTTGTAAACAAAGTCTTGTAATGAACCTCATTGAACACTGCCTGAGGTTCTTGCTTCTTGGAAGTGGTTTCCTTCAAAATTCTGTAGTGGGTGGCTTGTTCTTTATGTAAGTTTGGGTGAATATATCAGTAATGGTTAATTAAGTAAAATAAAACTATCTGTCTCTTTTTCTTTTAACGTGGGCAGCAATATGGGGCATCATCAGGCAGGGTCCTAGGCTTTTTGTTCCTGTGTTTTCTGTCTGAAACAGCAGGGAGGCTTGTTTAACTTGCAGTACTGGAAGAACCAGTGAATCCCCAAGCTGAAATAAGGGGCAACAGCATAGTATGGCACATTGTGGGGAGGGGAGCTGTTGGTTGGTTTCTACGGGTTGGGAGTGATGGGCACCGCCAAGGCCAGGGGTGCCTAGGCCATGAGTTAGGGCAAGCAGGATGAGGTGAGACTGTGTGATCATGAACAGCGTGGCAGGGCAAGGGACCATAGTGGTTATGGGCTGACCACACTCAGTGCGAGGAACAGTGCTAGGAGTGAGTGGGCACCAGTTGGTATAAGGGCATCTCAGCTGCTCCCATGAGTCTGTCTGGGGTGAAGGTGTGTGGGGGAATTGGTGACCTTGTGCAATCACGAATGGTGCGGCATCCAGCACAAAAAAGAAAGGCAGCTGAGGTCTGCAGTCACTCATTGCTATGACAAGCCATGCCTCTTGTGGTAACTGTGCTGTTCTCGTTAAGGGCTGCCAGCTGTCATGGGCCTGGCTGTGGGGTGATCTTGTGCAGTCGTGGATGGTGCAACAGCTGACACAAGAACAAGAAAAGCAGCAGCTATGGGTTGTGTTCACTCAGGGGCAGGGGCAGATAATGTGGTGATGGTGCCGTTGTCACCCTGGCTAGGGCAGGGCCAGGGCATGAGCGGTGAGGGCGGGGGTGTCCAGGCAGAAGAATGAACATTGTTTCACGGTGGGCTGGCTGGACCTGAGCATCTGGAGTGCAAAACACCTGGCATCCAAGGAAGCACATTACATGCAATTATCGAAACAGGGCAGCTAACCTCATCCATTTGTAAATGTAATTTGAAGTGACACCTGTAGAAACAAAGGGATGGACTACAACAAATGGACCAGCGACTGAGTGAGGCCTGTGTGCAATATGGCACCACGGTTGCCCCGACCCCAGGACTCACTCCACTGCCAGGACCCCCTGGCTGACTGCAAGGGCCCCTCCTGCCCTGGTTGGGGTGGGCGCAGCATGGGGGACACAGGCGCTTTCTCGGAAATACACATTTCAGTGGATGAACATGATCTTCATTACAGTAAAGATTACCAGATGATTAACCGACCTGGGTCAGGCACCTAAACACAAAGAGGCTTAGCTAAACTGATCCCTTGACCCCTTTCCCAGGACCACTATAATCTGGTTCCATCTTTTCCCAAAAGTCCCAGTGAAATGAGGACATTTAAATAAACCAATCAGAGCTTGGGTATTAGCATGTCAAATTACCACCCATAAATATGGGGCCAGGGGCAACCAAACTGGACCTTTCCTGAAGCTCAGGAGAAAAATCCAACTCAGCAGGAGTCCCCCGGAAGCAGAGAGGCCTGGGCACCAGACCTGCCCTTCCTGAGCCCAAGGCTGCATAAGCATAGCCTTCACTAGTACCAATAAGTCCTTGCTACTGTGTATCCTAACAAAGCTAGAGTTGTGTTTGCAGCGGTCTCATTGATCAATCAATCTCACTTCTAGCCGCAAGTCCAACCGAAAGATAACAGTCGCCCTCACCTCAATCCCTAGGAAGTTACTGGAGCACATGCTAAGGAATGCCATTTGCAGGCATGCAGAGGAAGATAGGCTGGTCCCAAGCAGCCAGTGTGGTTCCAGCACCTGCTGGGGTGGATGAAGGGCTGGTTGTGGGTGTCTACAACAGGGTCCGGCCCTGTTACTAGGGGTGTGGAGGAGCTCGAATGGCCCCACACCCTGGCAGCTTTCCCTGCATACACCCCAGGCCTGGAAGGACTCACTAGAGGCTGAGGGTCCAAGTCTGGGAACACAGCAAGCCTCCCAAGCAAGGGAGCTAGCGCAGGGGTTGGGAACAAAGAAGAGCCAGCTCAGGGCACACAGAGGGAGGATAAAAGGAGGCTTAAAGCTGCCTCTGCAAGGCTGCAGCCTCAGAGACAGAGAAGAGGGCTGCCCTGTGCCTGGGCTAGTCTAGGTCCAGCAGCTGTGGGGATGGCCTGCAGAGACTTCTCTTTGGGTTGTTTCTTGGTCTGTTTTGTTTGCATGGAGCTCTCTTCAAAACCTCTGGAAGAGAAGAGTGAGCAGGGAATGAACCCTGGGGAAAGCCGAACAAATCAGAGCCTTAGACCCGCCAAAAGCAAAGTGGAAGTTTATTTGTTGAACTTTCTGTGTTTATTTTGCATTTCTCACAAACCCAGATTGGAGCCAGAGACGAAGGGGCTGCAGCAGGGACGGGGACCTGAAAAGCGGGTTCTTGGCTACAACCAGCAGCAGAAGAGTAAGTGGTGGGATCAGGGGGCTGATCGAATGTGATCATTTCTGCTCTGCCTGAAATCTCCCTGTGACAGTGCACGGTGTCCTGTGTCTGCACTGCAGCAACACGAACTCCTCATAAACCATCTGGAGAAGTGTGGGCTACACAAAGCTACTACGCGGTGGGCAGACAACTGGCTCCATCACCGCTGGCAAAGGGGTCAGTCATTCTCACCAGGTCATGTCAGGGTGGCAGGAGGCCCATTTGAAACTGGAACAGGATTTCAAAGGAGGTGGTGCTGTTCTCTACCTTGGGGCTCTTCAAGAAGAGACTGGACAAGCACCTGGCTAGGGTCACATGACCCCAGCACTTTTTCCTGCCATGGGTGAGGGGTCGGACTCGATGATCCATTGAGCTGTCTTCCGACCCTAACACCTATGAATCTATGAGGCCTTGAGCGGAGCCCCACAGGGGTCTGCCCTGGGCCCGGGGCTGCTCGACATGTCCATTCATGGTGTGGATGCTGGCACAGAAAACTTCTGGAGCAACTTATGGATAACACAAGATTAGGAAGGGCTGTGAACACACTGAAGGATGCGAGCACAGCACAGACAGATTGTAACAGACTGGAAATGCAGGCTGGAGCTGACAGGATGCAGTTCAGTGTGGACAAGTGCATGGTGCTGCCCTCAGGAGGAAGGATCATGGACACGGGCACAGAGTGGGTGAGACACGGCTGGGGGCAGTGCTACGGAGAAGGGCCCGGGCATCTCGGGAGGGCCCAGAGTCAAGAGGAGTCTACAGTGCGTTGTAGCTGCGTGAAGAAGCCCGCGTGGGTCTGGGCTATGGGACAGGCAGGATGAAGGTGCTGGAGGTGGAGGTGGCTGGGCAAGGGCAGCCAGGCTGGGGCAGGGCTGGAGAGCAGGCCGTGCTGCGTGCTGGGAGGGCGGCGGGAAGGGTGCCAGGGGCAGCCGTGCTGGAGGGGGGGGAGCTGGAAGGCAAGGGGCAGGGTGAGCTGGGGCTGCTGAGAGGCAGAGCACAGCCCCTCTCCCCCGGCCATGCTCCTGCGTGGGGGCGCAGGGCTCCAGCTGCCAGGGGAGGAGAAGGGCACAGGAGTGCCTGGGTGCCAGGGTGCAATGAGTATGCCCAGTGTTGGCACGTGCTTTCATACTTACAGAGCCTCCTCTCTTCATGCCCCAGGGATCGTCTCTGTGGCTCCCTGGGGGCAGTCGGATGGCTTCTCACACACCCACTGCTGCTGCTTATTATACCCACCTCCTGGCTCTATTCTTCCCAATGTAATTGTTCCATAAGTAATATAATCATAAAATTTTGGACCTCTGAAAAAAAAGTCATGTCAGGGCCTTCACACCATCCCAGCCTCCACAAGCCCCATGTGTATGGCTGCAGCCAGGCCCCAGGCCCAATTTTGGCCAATCTGACCCCTGCATTGCCTTGCCTGGGTCACAGCCCCTTCCACCAGCCCATGCAGCTGGTGAGTGTCCCCTTGCTTCTGGCCGGGCTGCAGCGCAGCTGCCAGAGCCAAGCCCAGTCCATACAGGCAGCTCCTGGCACAGGCACAGCCTGGGATCAAGGTTCCTGGCAGCCTCCCCTGCCCACACTGCACAGATCCTGTCCTCCCACCCAGCGCAGCCCCCACCAGGACCCCCTGAGCCCGCACAACATGTGTAACAGGAGCTGAATGGGGCTCCCAGGATGGGGAACTGGAGTGCAGCTCACTGTGGGTACGGAGTCCCATCGATCCAAGTCCAGACCCTGTTATACCGCAACCCGATCCAGTACGAGGTGTCCATGTTGGTGAAGAAGCTCTGCAGAGGGAGTGACTGCTGGGAAACAGCCCCAGGCCTGGCCAGAGCCAGGTGACAGGGGGCAGTTGGGGCCATGGGGCCTCTAAGTATATGGGCAGCAGGAGAGGAACAGGGAGGGCAGGGCCCTTTGGTCATCTACCCTCCCAGCACTTGCAACTGCCCCATCGAGTGTGTCTGCACACATCGAGGGCACCCACATAGGCTCCAGCTGCTTAGGGGGCACAAGGTGCTCATCCCAGCAGCCAGCACAGCACTGACCCATCCGCATGCTTTGGCTGTGCTCAGCCCCAGGGAAATGTCCCCAGGAAGGCTGTCCTGCCCTGCTCTGCCCTGCTCCCAGCATTTCGCTGCCAGGAAGGTTTTCCAACCATCACCTTCCCCAGGCACTGCCTTCCCGCTTCAGCCCCAGACCCACAGCCCCTTACCAGCATGGTCATGAGGTCCCAGTCCCTGAGGACCAGGAGCCGGGAGAAATTTGCTGCACAAGTTGCTAAGCTTTCCGACCAGGTCTTCTTTTCCTTGGAGAGGAACAGGCACTTCCCATGGTGCAGCACCCAGGTCTCCGGGCAGCAGTCTGGACACAGGCAGCAGCTGACACCTGCCCCACTGTGAGGGCAGTGCCAGGGCCACGGGCTGCAGTTGGGGGTGCTCTGGAGCCCCAGGGAAATGGCCCTTCCAAGAGCTGTTGGGTCTGCCCAAGCCCAGCCCTGGGATGGGCTCGGTGGGAGACAGATAGTGCCCAGGCCACGGGGCAGCAGGGAGGCGGGGGACAGAAGGTCTAGGGGAGCCAGACCAGGATGCCGGGGTTTCCTCCTGCAGTGATGCCCACTCCCCACTCCCCATGGGGCTTGGGCCCAGCACTGCCTAGGGGAGAAGGGCTGTCCTGCCTGAACCACAAGCCCTGGGGGTGCCCCGCTCCCTTCCCAGCCCCACCACTACCTGCCCGACTGCAAGCCAAGGCTCCTGCAGTCTTGCTCAGCTGCTCCTGCAGGTCCTGGGCTTGCTCTTGCATCCAAGCCAGCTTCTCTCGGACCTTCCCAACTGCTGCCCTGGCCTTCTGCAGCTCCGTGTCCCTGCCTTGCAGCTCTTTCTGGCTGCAGTCCCCCTCTGCTCTGGTCTCTGCCAGTTGGTCTTGGGACTGCACCAGCGTCGTGCTCACCTGCCAGTCTGTGGGCACAGATCCATCAGTGCCAGGGGCAGGGCCTGGCACCCAAAGCTGGGCACTGTGGCAGGGGCCACAACCCCTGTGCTCAGACCTCCACCCACAGCCCCAGGGACACAGGGCTGGTGCAGCCAGCGGGAGCCTCCCAAGGCAGTGCCAGGGCATGGGCAGAGACTGGAAGGAGCTGGGCAGGCACCTGCAGGCAGCCAGACACCAGGGCCAGCCGGGCACCAGCCAGGGCCATCTGCCCTGCCCCCTCCCACAGTGCAGGTCCCCACTGGGATCATCTCCAAAGTCATTACTGCTCCTTCTTGGCTGGGGGCCCATGCCTCCCCGCAGCTGCCCTGCCCCTATGGGGGTTCATGCCCCTGATGCCAGGCCCAGGCAGCCCTGTGTCCCCCATGCTGCGCCCACCTGTATCCACACATTCCCGCTTGCCCAGTCCTCCCTGCCAGCCTGGCAGGGCTGTACTCACAGCAGACCCCCAGTGTGACGGTGGTGGCCAGGAGGGCCAGGCAGGCTGCCAGCAGGACCAGGAGCAGGGGCCGTGCACTCCCCCGGGGCTCTGCAAAGAATAAGGTGCTGTGAGATGCCCTGGCACCTGAAGACCATGCTGCCCCCATGCATGTGGCCTCGACCAGAGATGAAGGCGGCCTAGCGTGGATGAATGAGGACCACAACTCTGCCATTTTCTCCAGCAGTCATGGCCCTGCCCTCCCCAGCACAAACAGGCCTGGTGGGGGCTGGCCAGCCAGGTGAGGGGTCTGTGTTGGGTCGGCCCAGATCTAGGACACCTCCCCATCCTAGTAATGCTCACAGGCAGCTCTGCAAGGGTGGAAAAGGTCTGGAGAGTCAGAAGATGCTCCCCGCCTCCCACACCCACCCCAGCCCTTCCTGCAGATCCTACAGCCTCAACTGAGCCTGAGCGTGGGGGCAAGACCCTGTAGCCAGGACCCTGCGGGGCTGGTCCCAGCAGGAGCATTGGCACAGCCTCATTCCCAGCCCTGGCCCGGGCTGCAGGGAAAGTGGTAGCATCGTACAGAGGAGGCGGCTCTCTAAGAACCAGTGCATGAATGTATCTGAATGGGAGAGTGTGCATCACGGGGGCACAGAAGGGAATTGGTGAGGATTTATTCACCAAGGCGCCCCCGGGGGTTACAAGAAATAATGGCCACAAGCTAGCAGAGAGCAGATTTAGACTGGACATTAGGAAGAACTTCTTCACAGTTCGAGTGGCCAAGGTCTGGAACGGCCTCCCAAGGGAGGTGGTGCTCTCCCCTGCCCTGGGGGTCTTCAAGAGGAGGTTAGATAAGCATCTAGCTGGGGTCATCTAGACCCAGCAGTCTTTCCTGCCTATGCAGGGAGTCGGACTCGATGATCTATTGAGGTCCCTTCCAGCCCTAACATCTATGAATCTATGAATCAGCCCTGCCTGTGCTTACACCCACTGTCCAGTGCCTCTCTGCAGCTGGCACCGAACACCTCTGAGGGCTGCAAAGCAAACCTTGGTGCCTGCAGGAACTGGGCAGGGGGGCACACTCCTTCCCAGCACGTGTGGCAGCAGCAAAGCCGCGGAGCTTGGGGCAGCCACACTTCCCACTCTGCCCTGCAGCCTGGGCACAGCAAGCTGAGCCACCCCTCAGCAATGGGGCAGGACAGCCCCTCCATCGCCTGCCCCCTCCATCTGATCTCAGCCCCTGCAGTCCTGTTTTACCCCCAAGCCATCTGTGCACCCCTGGGAGCTCTCTTCATCCCTGCTGGGGTGCCCTGGGCAGGGAAGAGGATTCCCTTGCCCTCAGCTCTGTGCTCCTGGACCCCATCCCCAGCTCGTCCCTCAGCCCCTGGGCCCAGCTGGAGGGTCTCATAGGTGCTGTCAGCTTTGCCTGGGGCTGGTGGGGTACAGACACATGGGATGGTCAGGGTGTGGGGCCTGGACATGACCAGGTTTGGTAAAGGTGCGGGCTCCTACCTGCCTCTTGTACCCGGGGGCTCACAGTTTGTCCCAGGGGAGACTTGGAGAATTGAAGTTCGACATAAGTCACGCTCTCACCCATCGTGGCCATGTTGCACAGGGCAGATCGCAGGCTGCTAGTCCCAGTGCAGCATGTCCCAGCAGAAGGGAAGCATCAGCCAGAAGCAGAAGTGGCCTTGACCACAGGTGGGGGTGGCCAAGCACAGCAGGATGTGGGGCCATGGCCCTGCCATTGGCCCAAACAGCCATGACCCTGCCCTCCCCAGGCAGGTCCCCAGGGCCAGGGGCTGGCAGAGGAGGTCTAGGTGGCCAAGATCATCCAGAAGGCCATGTAGAGTAAGCCAAGACCTGGCCCAGCAGCCCCCATCAGTCCCAAGCCCATACATATCCTGTGTCACCAGGGCACAGGCTGCAATGTTGGGGTCTCCTCGGCTATGTCTGCACTCTGGGGCCCATTGATAAAGGTTGGGGAGGAAAAAGGACCCACCCAAATGCAGAGCCTGACTCCATCAATGCTCACAGGTGCCTGGGCACAGGGCAGTGTCCCCTACACAGGACCCATCCACACCCTCCCATACAGGGCGCACAGGTCTGTGGGTGCAGTCGATACAGACAGTCATAGTTTTTGCAGCAGGGCTGGAACATCACTATAGCTACTTTGGTGGAGGAAATGCATGATCTTTCCTGGAACAGGAAGAGCACAAGATCCCCCACGGCCTGTGGTTTATCCATTCTCAGCCTTATCAGGTGCTGAGCTTAGGCTGCCCCGGCTTCTTCTCCAGCCCGGAGGAAGGGCACTGTGTGCACCACACCTCCTCTCCCCTTGCTCCCAGCTAGACAGCTTGTCTACCCCAGAGCTCACCCCAAGCCCTTTCCTAGTCAGCTGGCTGGGTCTGAATCATGGACAGGCAATTATTTTGGGCAGAGAGTGACTTACTGAGTTTCGGCAAGCCATTGAGGGCCACATGACAGGCAGCCAGTGGCAGATAAATATTAATTTTCTAAATTTCTTAGGGGCTCTGCAGGCCAGACAGAATGGCCACTGTCCCTCAGTGGAAAGGACAAATGGGATCTGGGGACCTACAACTGGTTTCTCATCATCCCCGTACCCAGGAAGTGACAGGAGCAGACGCTCAGGAAGGGCCTGTGCAAGCGTGTGGAGGAGGAAAGGCTGAGCACGAGCAGCCACATGGGTTGATGACAAACACATTAGGTGCAACAAGCTCGATCTTCTCCTTGGCCAGAGGAACTGTGGGGGGATGAAGGGCTGCTGTGGCATCCCATATCTGCAGGTAGGAGCCAGGCTTGGGGCAGGTCTCGTATGACCTCCTGACGCACCTTGGAGACGTGTGTGCTGGACACAGCTACGACCAGGCATAGAGACAACCTGCTCATGTCCCACCAGCAAAGGGGCCTCAAGTGGGGCTGGGACACAACCCTGGGCCCAGCTGGTCCCACCAGAGCCATCAGGGGGACTCCCCCCGGGAATGAGCACTGCCCGCAGCCTGGGCCCAGCCTGGCTGAGTGAGGCCATCAGGGCAGCCAGGCTTTTAAGGTAGGAGGTCTGGCCTGCTGCAGCCCTCAGCCCCAGGCCCAGCCACAGACCCTTATAGTTTCATAGTTTCATAGTTGAGCAGGTTGGAAGGGACCTGAGGAGATCATCTAGTCCGACCCCCTGCCATGGCAGGAAAGAGTACTGAGGTCAAATGACCGGGGCCAGATGTTTGTCCAGCCTCCTCTTAAAGCCCCCCAGGGTAGGAGCCAGCACCACTTCTTTTGGAAGTTGGTTCCAGGTCCTAGCCGCCCTGACAGTGAAATAGCGCTTCCTAATGTCTAGCCTGAAACTACCCTCCGCTAGCTGGTGTCCGTTGTTTCATGCAACTCCCAGGAGTGCTCGGGGGAGCAGGGACTCCCCCAGTGCCTGCTGGTCCCCCATGACTAGTTTGTAACAGACCACTAGATCCCCATCATCCTTCTCTTGTGGAGGCTGAACAGGTTCAGGTCCCGTAGCCTCTCCTCGTAGGGCCTGCCCTGCTGCCCCATGATCATGAGGGTGGCCTCCTCTGGACCCTCTCCAGCCTCTGGCTGTCTCAACCAGCCTGGGAGGCTGCTGTTGAATCCCTCAGGGCGGGGATCTCGCTCCTTGTCTGCATGACAAAAGCCTGGCGCCTGGGAGGCGATGCTCTGGTCACCTGGGCAGGGGGGAAGACCCGGCCCTGCGCGCGGGCCCAGGTAGCCAGGGATGCCATGCAGATTGGTCGGTTTGTAGCCAGTATTGGC